TCTGTTTACACCATCCCTTCCAAAACTTCCTGTCTCCGGCCTTTACCCTAGGGCGAGTAGGTAAAAGTCAGTGGGCCATACCTGGTGGCTCATGTTCAGTGGCCTGCATTGGGTGGCCCATGTTTGTGGCACATGTCCAGTGGTCCACATTTGGTGGCCCGTGTTCAGCAGCCTATGTGTGATGGTCCATGTTCAGTGTCTCATGTTCAGGGCCCCATGCTTGGTGGTCTTTTTTCAGCAGCCTATGGTTGGCAGTCCACGTTTGGTGGTCCACACTCAGTAGCCCATGTTCACTGGTCTCCTTCAGTGGTCCATGTCCAGTGGCTCACATGTTACCCTTAGAAGTGAGCTGAGAGTCAAAGGCGTTGCCGGGATGTACTCCGATAAAAGGACAGATGCAAGGATAGAGTTGGACAGGAATAACTAGAGTTCGTCTTCTCAAAAATTTTGAAGTCATTCCAAAGTCAGTGTGTGTAGAGCTCCATCCAGTCAAGTGGTATGATAAGCAGTAACAAAACAGCAGGCTCATGGATTCTGTTTTTAATCAATTAGTTTTATTAAGAAATCAGTCTTTAAAAATATGTTCCCAGAAGTCTTTCTGGTGGAGAGACATAAAGTCGAAGTTGTTTTTGTTTTTTTTAAAGATTTTATTTATTTATTTGAGAGAGAGAGAAAGAGCACAAGCAGAGGGAAGAGGCAGAGGGAGAAGGAGAAGCAGGCTCCCTGCTGAGCTGGGAGCCCGTTGAGGGACTCGATCCCAGGACCCTGGGATCATGAACTGAGCCGAAGGCAGACGCTTAACCAACTGAGACACCCAGGTGTCCCTAAAGTTGAAGTTTTTAACAGGGGTTATATTTAAACATAGGTTTCTATACAACTCTTTCTCTATTTTCAAAAAGTTAACCCACTGTCCAAAAATAATAGTAAAATGTGTACATATCACAGTATTGTAATACTGCCGATAGATTACGGGCATCATAATGATATTTTTAAGTTGGTTACTCCTCAGATTCCTGTTCATTTTTTAGTAAAATATTTTTTGGCTGTTCAGCTGTCAAAGTTTGTAAGCACCTTAAGAAATCATCTTGACCATTTACAACGATGTGGGTGGACCTAGAGGGTATTATGCTAAGTGAAATAAGTCAGTCAGAAAAAGACAAATACTATATGATTTCCCTCATATGTGGAATTTAAGAAACAAAACAGATGAACATGGGGAAGGGAAGGAAAAATAAAATGAGATGAAAATTGAGAGGGAGGCAAACCATAAGCAACACTGAACTCTAGGAAACAAATAGGGTTGCTGGAGGGGAGGTGGCTGGGGGGATGGGGTAACTGGGTGATGGACATTAAGGAGGGCACGTGACATAATGAGCACTGGGTGTTATATGCAACTGATGAATCACTGAAACTAAGTAACTAACTAACTAAATAAATGAAATCGTCTTGATCTAACCAGATATTCTCCCAGAGGCAGAAGCAAGAATTCAACAGTATAGCTTGTTTTACCATTAGCTGCATGTATATCCAACCTTCTAACGATTTTACTGATCTAGGACCCGGTACCTAGGAGTTTTTAGTAAACAATCATGAATCAATTGACTTGACCAAAGTGCTAGGGTATGTTTACAGTAGAATTACAGCACCAGGACTGGAGACTCTCAGGTCCACACCTGATGACCTTGACATAGCCTTTCAGGCATTGAGCAAGTTTGAAGCCAGCTGGCAAGCCCTTTCTGTGCTAAAGGTGGAAGAGGCAAGAGAGCTGTTTCTGAAACGATACTCCTATTCCCTGGATCACTGGTACTCTGCAGATGTCTCTCAGGTATGCCAGGGGAATTTAGAAAACATTATTTCAAATTCTACCAGAATTATTTAAATAATAGTAGTCCTGACAATTTTATTTCTACCTCTCATGAGTTTCAATTGGTTTTTACTTGGTGCTGTTTGGACCATGTGTTCTGAAATTAAATGCAAAAATATATTCACAGCATCCAGATCACGAGTGGCCCCTGATACCCCTCTTCTCTTCCCCGTGGCTCTCCCTTCACAGTAACTTCTAGTGGTGGGTGGGGGCTTCACCCTCTCCACCACTCCCTTAGGAGAGCCTATCATAGAGCCCAGTACCTTCCAGATTTGGCCATTTGCAAATTCTGGAAAGATGTGCAGGGTGTATGCCTGGTATGGGTAATGGAGATCTGAGAAGAAGCAGGTGTTTGGAGACCCCCGTGCCCACAGGAAGGTGGATGACTGGGATGATTACGGGCCATGGAATGAGTGGGGTCCAGCTGTAGATAGATGTCTCAATCCAGTTGTGGATCAGGAAGTCTGTTTGTTTGACAGCGAAGCCGCCTACTGACCTTTAGCCATGAACATTCAGTCCTTTACTGGGCACCGATCATGTAAAAAATGCCCAAAGGGTACAATCTCCCAGTTACAAGGTGAATAAGTTCTGGAGATCTAACGTACGTGTGGTGACTGAGCTGAAATTTGCTAAGAGGGTAGGTCTTAAATGTTCTCACCACACACACAAAAGGTATCTATGTTAGGTGAAGGAGATGTGTTCATTAACTTGATTGTGGTGATTACTTCACAATGTCTATGTATATTAAATCACTACCTTGTATACCAAAAAGATAAAAAAGAAGAAAGGACCATAGGGTGTGGTCCCTGCCTTCTAGGCACTCCCATGTGCATCCGCCAGTGTCTGTCTGGAAAACTTTCTATCAAGGCGTCTCACCTGCTTTTTCCACCAGAAGAGAGGCTCCCTCGCTGAGTTCACACTCCCTGCAAGAGGGAGATGTGAAATGCACACACCCCATTACAGCTGCGCTGGGCTCGGGCCATGGAGCGCATTGCCCCAAACGTGCATTTAGTAAAGCATTTCCCCATCTCTTTTGCCATCGGCTCTTAGGGAGAGCAGGTACTGTTTTACGGTAAAGGAAAATAAGAGCAGGGCAGGTAAGTCTCATGCACTCCGGTCACAGGCCACACATGTAGTAATCAATGACTCAGGCTCTGGCCCGGGGTTCTTGCTGTGCAGCACCTCGAGCCTGGCCGAAAGGACAGAGATGGCCAGCGATGCCACAACCAACAGCCTTGTCACTCACACAGGGAAAGCGGAAGCCTGGGGGACAAGCTCCCGGCTGGCACCTGTTCCAGGCTCCGTCCCCTCCTGCCCTCCAGCTCTGAGCCAGGCTTTGCACTCGGCACCCCGTGGGTGGAGCGCTGGGGCCTGTGGGTGCGGTGAGCGGAGGGTGGAGCAAAGCCGGGGGAGAGAGGAAATGCCAGCCGGCTGACCTGTGTGCACGCGCGTGTGCATGTGGGGGGTGCACGTTATGACACTGGTGCCTGGTAATCGAGCGAGCCCTTCTGCCCGGCCCTCCCAGAGCTCTCCAGGTTTCAGCTAAAATGCTTCCTCCTCAGGGACGCCTTCCCTGGCCAGTCCTCCAAACTAACTCCTCCTTCATCTTCTCATGCTGCATAGTTTTTATCACATATTGATATCCTTGCTTGCACATCACACACACACACACACACACACACAGTAGTTGGTGTTTGATGTCTGAGGTTAATCTCATCCACTAAAATAAAACTTCTAAGAGACAAGGGACCCTCGTTGTCCTCGAATCCATCTGATCAGAATGACAGCAGGGAATTCGCTTGAGCTTAGACCCATAGGAAGGAGCTGGTGGACCGTCCTCCATAAGGCTGCAGCCCAGGACCTCAGAAACGTCCCTCACTGCCATAGCCCGAGCTGTAGAGGGCAAGAAGGCCACACTCACGCTCATGGGGAGCCTGAGAAAACTCGGTCTTCCTCTGTGTCACTAACACCTCACAGGAGTTCCCCATAGTGGCAAAGCCAGATTCAGGCCACCCCTGAAGGGGCCACAGACAGCCCAGCCCCTGCAGCTTGCCGCCGATGCCCCAGCCAAAGAGGGTCTGAGACACACAGAGGGTGACTCATGGATACCTTTGAATGAATGGGACAACTAATGAGGAGCCAATGATATTCAGACTGATTAAAATGCTCCGGGGAGGGGGTGCACCTGAGTGGCTCAGTCATTAAGCATCTGCCTTTGGCTCATGATCCCGGGATCCTGGGATCGAGCCCCAGGGTCGGGCTCCCTGCTCTGCGGGGAGCCTGCTTCTCCCTCTCCCTCTGTCTGCCGCTCCCCCTGCTTGTGCTCTCTCGCTCTGTGTCAAATAAGTAAATAAAATATTTGAAAAATAATAATAAAATAAAATAAAACGCACCAGAAAATTAGAAGAATATGATTTCCAACAACTAAAAACTGTTTGGCTGCTTACGAGTAACATAGGGCATATTTGTTTAAGTGGGAAAGCTCACTGTTAACAGAGGCTGTACCAATTTCTAGCAGCACAGAATGTTTCAGGGTACGTAACTCATCGTCGAGTTTATTTGTGAGGCCCGGTTGTTGCTCATAACTTGGGAACAAGAGCAAGAACATGCCCATCACCGCCCGTAGCCCTTGCCTCACTGGGTGGTGGGCAGACCTTGTTTCCGGGCCCAGCCACCTGCAGGCGGGGCTGCTCAGGGACAGGGGCTGACGGGAACATCTAGGACACAGCCAGCACCTGGCAGTGGCTTGGCATTTGCTCAGTGAGTAAATAGAAAGAAATCTGCGTGTGGTCCCCTCCTCTGCTAGTCGCCCTCGATAAGATCAAGCCCACAACATACGCAGCTGTTTCCATGATGGCGCAATGCCTCCAGCCTCCTGGAAGCGGGGCACGCCACGGCTCAGACGGCAGGTGAAGTGGTCATAGTACACAGCTGGGACAGGATAATAACTTTACTCAGAGCAGGGGTTCTCAGCCGGGGGGATCTGCCCGCTGGAAGACATCTGACAATTCTGGGGACATTTTTGACTGTCACAACGGAAGGTGCCCCTGACATCTAACAGGGGATGTTGCCCAATGTCCTGCAATGCACAGGACAGCCCCAAGAGAGAATTATCCAGTCGAAAATGTCCATCATGCTGAGGGTACGAGACGCTGTCTTAAAGCAAAGGGTCCACGCCTGAGACCTGAGACCAAGACCCACCTTTGGACATGTTCCTCTCAGCTCCCCTCAGCTGGTGGCACCCATATAGGCGTGGTCTGGCCACAGGGCCCGGCCCTGTCGGAGGGGAGGTCAGGAGTAGGCGCACGGTGCGGGAAGTGGGGTTCAGCCAGTCTGTCCAGCTTTTTCTGGAACCCCAAACTCTGAGGGCGACAAGGAAACTTGTCACCCTCCAGACTGGAGAAAAGTCCCAGCAGACTCTGTCCGCCTTCATCTGGAAGAAAGAAGCCTACACTTCTCCCGGGCGGGGCAGCACCCCGGCTCCCCATGCAGCCGGCCGTCCCTCCAGACCCACCCGTGGGCTTTCTGCAGCTCAGGTACGAAAATGGGCTTGAAATCCCTCTGAACGTGGCCGTGGGCTATACAAGGCATGGCGACCTGCCAGACTTTCTAGTTGCTCGCAAAACCGTCCCAGAGCCAGGGACACGGGCCCCTGCTATGGCCGCCGTGGCTTGTTGCAGGGGCTGAGGTCGGGGCAGGGACTGGGGGAGCTCATGATGCTCCCTCCTCGGGGGTCAGAAGGAGAGCTTGAAGGGTCATGGGAAAGGCTGTGCAAAATGTAGATCTGAATTGTTGAATGAGGACTGCCGTGGACAGCCACCGCGGTCCACCGACCAGAAACTCTGCATGAAATGTGTCCAGTGACAAACACAACTCACTGAATAAGGCGAAGCATGAGCACGTTTGCATGAGGAAAGAGGAAAAAGAAACTCGATGCGTTACGTATGTGGTACACACCACATATGTAAGTATAGAGAATAAAACCCCAGAGCCTAAAAAGCAAATCCCCAAATGTGAACAGTATTTTTACCTCCAGGAAAGAGAGGGGGGCTTGGAGGGGCAGGTCGTGAACAAATCTTATGGGTACGCATTCTGTACACTTCCATTCTGTCTGATTATTTTATAAGCAGAGCATCATGTATTACTCTCAAATCTTTAAGGTTAAAAAAAATAACTTTTTATAGGTGGGACTCAGCTCTGTTTAACTACATATTCCCACTAGCAAATGCCAAAATCACACACAAATGAAAACAATCCACACATGGTATCTGCATTTGACGTGTAAGCATATTTGTGCACTGAGAATAAATACCCATTATCCGAAACCAAGAATGGGGTCAGCCAACTTTCTGAAAGCCACTCCATCTCCAGTGCTCCGACCCTCTGAGCCCCCAGTGCCTTTAGCCCCCAGATGGGGGCTCTCAATGGCCTGGAATAGAATGAATTCAGCCAACCTCAACTCAGGAGGCCCCAGTGGAGACCACACCCTGGACGGGTAACAACAGTCCAAACTCTATTCAGGTGAGGTCCCCACCTTCACGGAAGGTGCGGAGGCCAGATACCTACACAAAGAATGAAACCGGTAAGACCCACCAGCACTGAGTGCCAGGCACTGTTCTAATTCTATCGTAACATTTATTTCTTAAAATAATCCGAGGCAGTGGGTACTGTTACTGCCACCATTTTACAAATGGGGAAACTGAGGCATGGAACATAACTTGCCCGAGGCCACGCAGTTCCTTTGGGAGGGTAGCAGGAGTTGGACCTCCTGAGTCTGCAGGCTCACCATCCTGTGCTGTGTGGGCTGGTCTGGGAAGCAAGGCGGGAGGAGCGAAGCTTACCGTGTGGCGTGAAGTCTCTGGGAAGGAGGTGATCCATTCCAGAGTGCAGACTCAAAATGCAGAGGAGGTGAAGGACCTTAGGAATCAAACGGCCCAGACTCACCTCTCTATAAGCAAGACCCCAAGGCATAGGAAGGGACCCGGTATGATTCTGGTGGGGCCCTGGTTGGGGAATTCAGCTTGGTTTTCTGGAAAATGGCAGTAAGTGCCCAGCAGCACCTGCTTGTGGAGACAATAGGGTTTGCCATTATTGGACAGCCGGGCTCGGAGCCAGGGTGCTGTCACTGCACGAGGGCGAGGGTTCCTGAGGCACAGGGACCCAGCATTCAGCATTCAGCACTCAGCACGAGCCTGGCCTTTTGCAGCTTCACAAACAGAGAAGCAGCTGTGTGGGGGGGCGGGCTGGGGTCTGGGGCGGGTAGCGCACCCTCTTTCTCGTGCTAAAACAGCAGCTGTTCCCTTACCATTCTCAACACTTCACTTTCAACTTGGTTAAAACCTACAACTTGCTTTGGTTCTGAACACTTGGCAAGGAGGTTGGAGTTTTGAAGTCCACAGAGGGAGGTGGAGAGGATGTGCAGAGACAGAGTGCAAGACGACCTGCCTCCCGTGGGTCCAGGTGCCCAGCTCAGGGGGTTCACCCGCCCGCAAGCCAGCCTCCGCAGGGTGAGTTCCGCGGGCGGGGACCGAACTCTGCCTCCACGTTGCCCACCTGGCGGGAACTCCAGAAGCCACGTATCCTGCACAAAGATCATTCCTTCTCGTCCTTGGATTCTTTCTTCTCTCCCCACTATTCCTGGGTGCCTCTTCCCCACTTGCCATGTTCTGATCTGCATATGTCTTGACTGTTTCTTCCTATCCTTAGGAATCACTGGACCAGAAACCAGAAGACTCAGCAGCCATCCAACCCAGAAACTATGAAGTCCCAGGTAAGTCAGCTTAACGTGGTTGGACCTGTTTCCTCATCTAGAGAATGGGAACATGGGGATAATGAATGTAGCATACTCATCTCATGGGGCTGAACAGTGTGAGTCTGGCCGTGCTCTAGAAGCTTTCCAAACCGTGCAGACGGAGCGGGCCAGGATGACCGCTGGCTGGTACAGGGCCTCCAGAAGAAACAGGTGGCTACTTAATGGGATGTTTTTCCCACACCACCTTATTCTCTGTGGTAACACTACACCTAGCGTGAGACTCACGCAGACTCTAAAGATCAGTGACCGCGTAGATGCATGCAGGAGCAAACCTGAAACGAGTTAAGGATGGAGGCATTTCCAACCAACAAGCTGCCCCTGAGCTTTTATTATGTGCCAACTATTGTCATGTGCTTAGTTTGCCTGAAACTCAAAGGCTAACTGTTCTAATATGAAGGATAAATAGACAAACAACTTTAATTCAAGGCACAGAAATAGCAGTACCCTGATGAGAGGCGTATGAAGTTCAACAAAGATCCACAAGGAGGAAGATGTTACAGCTGTTGGGAGGTCAGGAAAGGTTCAAGAGCCTTGAAGGATGCACAGAATTTCAGCCAGCGTCACTAGGAAAGGGTCTCCCCAGCCCAGGAAGTAATGCAAAGGTGTGACCTGCAGGAGAAGCCGGGTGGGGAGGGGAGCAGTGATGTCACAGCAGAGACATAGTGGGGAGCACAGGCGAGAAATGAAAAGATAATCCAGGGAAAGTTGCTGAGATCCAAAGAATGGATGTCTCCAAACGTCCACTAAGGATTTCAGATTTTCTCTTCAGATAGGAAAGAGTATTTGGGGTTCTTTCAGGCATTGGCCTGCTCAATGGACTCCTTTTGCAGTGGGAGCAGGCAGTCAATTACGATTTAAATTCATGATTCCTCGCTCAAACCTAACTCACTGCTGCCCGGTACAAACACGCTCTCTCCCACTCGAGCAGGTCATTAGCCTCTGAAACCTATGCATCAGGGTCTACTCCGTGGGATTAACAGTACCTGGACCGTATCATTGTTTGGGGAATTAATGGGACAATAGCTATGTGAGTCCTTGGCTTGGAGACACAGCTTTTTGTCCAAGGGATCACCGCAACCTTCTCTGTTAGGGACTTCTTTGCAAAAACAAACACACCTGCAATGAGGAAATGCATTCCAGGATTCTCTCCCTGAAGAAGACTCCATCTGACAGAGTAGGGACTCCCGAGGTTGGAAGCAGTGGCTGGCCGAGGTCGCACGGCCAGTCTCCCACAAACCTGAGACTGGATCCCTGTCTCCTCCCTCCCGTCACTGTCTCCCAGAAATCAAACCCCAGACGGTGACTGAAAGTACCTGAGATATTTTTCTGCAGCCGAAGACGCTGGCCCTCCATGTTCATTCCGGTCTCCCATCCCCCAAAGTCCAGAGGACAAGTGTTGAGGATATGTGACAGCTCCTCAAGATCCCCATTGTTGTTGGCCTGCCAGGAGAGCAGGGAGTCAGGTGCAAGGTCAAGGAGGTCACCCATGCTGACAGGACTTTGCCTCAACTCCGGCGGCAGCTCTAGCCCTTCAACCTACTGTGCCTGAACGCACAACGAATTGACCAAGGACACGGAGCTGGTAACAACCCATTATCTCCATTTCTCCATCACCCCTTGCCTGGTGTGCATCCCACACTCCGTATCTGTTGCCTTCACATAACTGTTACTCCCAGGTTGCTGGAATCAACAGACACTCTTTCAGTCTTCACCTTACTAAACACCTTCTTCCTGAAAGCCCTTCTTCTTCCCTTGGCTTTCATGACACCACACTCCTCTGGATTTGTCCCCTCTGAATGTTCTCTCTTGTCGTTTTAGGTCTGCTGATCCAACTCTACTAGACCGTAAACATGGAAGTCGCTCAAGGATCTTTTCTCGGACCTCCCTGCTTTCTCTCTGCACCCTCGCTCTGGGGCATGACATGCACCCCTTTGGCCTCGATGATCACTGAAGGGCTGATGACTGTCCCATCTGGGCCTCCAGCTTACACCTGAGCTCCAGATTGAGAAATCCCTACTTGGATGGCCCCCATACTTCTCAAACTCCACAGATCCAAGGCTCAACTTTTCATCTGCATCTTGTCCTTGCAAATGGCAGCCCCATCCACCTGGGGTAATACTTACCTGACTCTCTTTCCCTGGCTCCCCACACCCAGACAAACATTTTGATTCCTCCTCACAAGTAGCTCTTAAACCTTCCATTTCTTACCATCCTCACCACCATCTAGTCCTCTTAGGTTGGATTCATGCAACCTTCTCCTAATTGGGAGACCTACTCCCACCTGCTTCCAAATCAGCCTCCACAGAGCAACCAGGTGGATCTTTGCCAAACATATATGGAACCATGTTACTTTCTGTCTGAAAACCTTTCAATAGGTGTCCATCCACAGATGAAAAGATAAATAAAATGTGGTATATACTTAAAATGGAATATTATTCGGCCTTAAAAAGGAAGGATGTTCTGACACATGCTACAACATGTGTGAACCTTGACAACATTATACAAAGTGAAGTAAACTAGTCACATCAGGACCAACACTGCATGATTCCTTCTACGTGAGGCTCCTGGAATAGTCAGACTCATAGAAGCGGGAGGTAGATTGGAGCTTGCCACGGGCTGGGGGGGAAGGAGGATGGGTGTTATTGTTTCACTTCAGTTTGGGTAGATGAAATGTTCTGGAAATGGACAGCGGTGATGGTTGTACAACAATGTGCATGTATTTAATACCACACTGCACACTTAAAAATGGTTAAAAGGGTGAACTTTATGTTGTGTATATTTTACCACAATATATATTTATGAAGAATTTTTTTCGGGGAGCCTGGGTGGCTCAGTCAGTTAAGTGTCTGCCTTAGGCTCAGGTCATGATCTCAGGGCCCGTGTTGGGCTCCCTGCTCAGCGGGAGTCTGCTTCTCCTTCTCCCTCTGCCTACCATTCCCCCTGCTTGTGTGTTCTCTCTCTCTCTCATGAATAAATACATTCTTTTAAAAAATTAAAAAAATGTTTTCAACAGTTTCCTATTGTTTTCAGAGGAAGATCCACAATTCCTAACAGTGCTCTGAGGCAAGGAGACAGAGCCTCTCCATCCCACCTGCTCTCCCCACCTTCTCCCCTTCCCCCCTTCCCCCCTCCCCTATCCCCCCCACCCACCCCTTGGTCTTTCAGCTGCATTTGTGCCCGTTCCTTCTACGCAAAGTCTGTAAGGGCTGTCTCCTCTGCCTTGAATGCTCTTAATCCACCTCTCCCTGCACCACTCCTTTTGCCTGGACTTCTGCTCATCTTTTTTTTTTTTAATTTATCTGAGAGAGAGAGGGCACAGAGACAGAGTGAGCGGGAGAAGCAGACTCCCCGCTGAGCAGGGATCCCATCACGGGGCTCGATCCCAGGACCCTGAGATCACGACCTGAGCCGTAGGCAGATGCTTAACCGACTGAGCCACCCAGGTGCCCCCACTTCTGCTCGTCTTTTAAGTCTCAACCTCAGATCCCAAGCTCTGAAGGGACTAACCTCACACCCAGATGAGGTCAGGGACTCTTGTCTTTATGAGTATTATGGCACATGTTCCTCAACCCGAGGATGTAACACTTGCAAAGTTATTTAATATTTGTATGCCACACCCCGATCGAGAACTCCTACCTGTCTTGTCCATCTTCGTGTACGCCGAGCACGGCATTGACGAAAAAGCTTTCCATGCGCGTTTGTGGGGTAAATAAAGTAGTGTTGTGCCGATGGGATTCCAGAGTCAAACCCTTCCCTCTGCCCGGTGCCGCCTCCGGTAAATCCCTCCGACTGGGTGGGGTTGGAATATAAAGCAACAGGGGGAAGGGGGGGGTCCACTCCCAACCCCCAATTAGAGCTAAGCCCTCTGTCCCTGCAGCTCCAGGAGGGGCTTCTAGGGCCATGATTCAATCCAGCCACGTGGACCATAACCACGTCCCCATGAACCTGTGAGCTCCCCAAGGACAGGAACCAGGTCCTTATTCATCTTTGCATCCCTCAAACGTAGCCTGACACCGCTCCTAGGGAAGACGCTTATTATTAATATTGGTTGAATAAATAAACAAATCAAAGAATAACCCGTCTCACCTACTTGAGCCTGCTTTTTCTGTGAAAGGAGAATTATTCACCCCTCAAGGCTTACTTCATAAGGTTGCCATAAAAATGAAAATGAGATTAGATGTTTCCTTAATTTTAAAATACCACTAAATATAAGATTCACATTTCTTTTTTTTTTAAAGATTTTATTTATTTATTTGAGAGAGAGAGAGAGTGCACAAGCAAGGGGAGGGGCAGAAGGAGAGGGAGAAGCAGACTCCCTGCCAAGCAGGGAGCTGACTCAGGACTCCATCCCAGGACCCCGAGATCATGACCTGAGCCGAAGGCAGACGCTTGACAGGACTGAGCCACCCAGGCGCCCCAGATTCACATTTCTTTATACCTACTTTTTTTCAGTGGAGGGGAGAGACCACATTAATTATTATCATTATTATTTAGTATACTTTTTAATTTTATAGAATTTTTTATATTAAAATTATTATGATTAACTATAAGATTCACCCCAACTTCAAAATGCTAAAATGAAAGTGTGTGCACTGACGAATTGAAGAAATGCATTAAGATGTGTGAGAACATAAAGCAAATGATTTGTGTTTACTGGGGGAGTGTATTAAAAAGACTGATTCTAGACTATTACTGTTGGCAATTCTAATTCAGGGGCTGTTTTGTAAAGATGCTCCAGGTGATTCCAATGGGCTGTGCAGTTTGGAAACTGGTCTCAAAAAAACCCCATAAAATTCCCCCTGTTCTTTTCTAGGGAGGAAACTAAGAATGGTAGAGAGCCTGTAATCTGTTCAAGGTCACACACGGCAGTGCCTAAGCTCTGACTCAGGACTGGCTTCCCAGCGCTTTCCCCAGGGGCTTCCCAACAGACCATCCTGCCTCCTTCTGGCTCTGGCTCAGGCTTTCCCAGATCCTGATGACCCCAACAGTTCCCGACTCCAGACATCATCATCTATTTTGGAGAAGGAAAGTCAGTGTACAAATTACCCATGGGAAGAGCTGATCACAGCAGGGAACTGGTCTAGGGGATTTCTGTTGGGGAATGATCGTTCCACACACAAAACTGGTTTTACTTCCCTTAGGGTCTAGCAACCCTTTTACTCCACATACCAAAATACACTCCCCTTGGGTTTCTGCTTTCAATGGCCTCTGTTTTCAGCAATGTTAGCACTAAAAATCAACCCGGCAGGCATTCAGCAGTGGGTAGGTGTGGTTGGCCTTAGTGTGAAACAAAATGCAAGTCACCATAAATTAAGGATCTCAGAAAGCCCCGGGTATGCTCGGATTTGGAGCTTCTGGAAAGGAAGGCCACGTGCAAGGGTGAACAGAGACTGGCCGGACCTTCTGGACAGCACTGCTCCCCTAGCCTGGCCAGTGGGGCCAGATCCTGGGGCCAGGATAGACGCAGACGCAGGAGAGACACCTCCAATGGTCCCCACTGCACCGAAGCATTAGGGCTTTGAAGACACGCTTCACTTTGAATTTAGTTTCTGTATCTGCGAAACATCCGATTGTGTTGAGCTGGATTCCTTTGGTCCCTTTGTTTCTAACTCCCAAAAACCCTTTGCAGACAAAAGCTCCTTTGACAGGCCTGACACAGAGAGCAGATGTATCTGGGCTATCCTGGCGGAAGCAGGGCAAGGTCCAGAGCTCGGGTCTCGTTGGGACTCAGTAGAACCCCCCTGGTTCCATGGAACACAGCAACTCTGCAGAGGAAACGCTCAAGTCCCTTCCCATCATGAGGTCATGATGCTATGAGTCTAACTGACCGCACATGGAAATTCTGGGCATAACTGGAAAGTTGGCATCACACCGGGCTCTGCCTTCAGTCCCATGCCTGAGCCAGGACCGGCAGGCTGCCTGAAATAAACTGGTCATAAGCATAAATGTTACCTTCATTAAGTGTGTTTACATTCTAGGGAGGGACACTGCCCAACCTTCAGTTCTGGTGCAGAAATCAGAGGTATTAGCCCCTCTCGGGAGGATTCCTGGCAGCTGGGGTGCAGGCTGAGCCCTCCTTCGGAGGTTTGCCTTCCTAGGTACAGGGAGACAGAGCGTGCGTGGAGAGGCGAGAGATTGTCCTAAACTGTAGAGTTGCCACGGATCTTGTATTTCTTCAAAGTACACTGAAACTTTACTCAGCCTTAAAAGAAGGGAAATTGGACACCGGCTGGAGCATGAAAGAAACTCGGAGACTTACAGATACTGTGTGATTGCACTTATATGAAGTTCAGAGCCCGCTCGAACCACTACTCTCTGCCAGTCGTTAGGTGTATCGTCTAGGGAAACCGGGACAGCAATGGGCTCATAACGTGAAGAAGAGAAGCTGTGAGAAAGGGCACTGATTGAACGCTCCCCCCGCCCCATCTGTCAGTTCCTTTCTCATCTTCCACACAGGAAATCCCCTCGAGCCTCTGCTGGTGTGACGGCTTCTTCTTCCTCACAGAGGAGCCGCTAAATGCCCTGTCCCAGGTGACCCTGCCTTTGGGGGGAGGCTCAGCATTCGCATCCAGTCCAGCTCAGGGGCCGAGTCAAGCCCCTCCGCGGCCCCGCGTGGTCTGCAGACTAGATGCATGCGCGGGTGGGGACGTCCCCACCGGGACCTGGCCTGGGGAGGCGCTCGGCCAGGCCACGCCCTTGGTTCTCCTCATCCCTGTACTGGGGGGGCGGCTCCCACAAACCCAGCGGAGACCAGGCCTCGGAGCAGAGCCGTGGCGGGCCTGAATCGGTTCAGCCCCACAGTGAAAGGCTGCATCTCATCGGGTCCTGGCAGGAGGGGCCCCCAGCGCTGCCCGCCTCCCCCCACCTGCCTTCCGCCACCCCTGCGCGCAGGTCTCGTGCTCCCAGAGTGTGACCCGCAGCTGACAGAAACAGCTCCTGCCTCGGGGAAGCGGCAAACAGTGTGGCTTCTGGGACGTGTCCTGGAGACCAGCTGGCCAAGGACGTGACCCCAGCAGACCACAGTCAAGGTCTGGTGCACATGAGAGCGCCAGGGAAAGGGCTGGAAACTGTGCCCACTGCTTCTGGGACACACACAGCCGCAAAAAGGAAAGCAGCATCGTTACCTGAATGATCACAC